TTCTCTCCCGGATAATACTCGTTTGCTTCTCGATCCTGTTCGACTGTGTTTCGCCTTTCTAAATTTGCGTACGTTTTCGTCCCCGTTTCCCAAGAACGATGAAACGCAACGAGATGGGGAATAGCCCGACGACGAATATTCAGCGGCTGATTCGACGAAACTGCACACTATTGCGGTTATGAGGATCGCGAATGAAATATGGAATGGTGGATTCACACGAGAGAAGGAAGAATATTTGATTAAATTTTTTATAAAACTACATTCATTGTTATTCTGTATATAAGTTTAAGTTTCTTTTTCTCCTTGCATAATTATCACCAAATAATAATCATAGTACTAACCATCACTTTTTTCGAGATGTATTGAAATATTTGAAGTTCCATATCTTTTAATCGAAATTCCTAATATCTTTACATCCATATCCCTCTAATAAGTATCTCGAATCCAATTCCATTACTGTCGTCCAACAAAAAAAAAAGTATAAATATTTTATTATATTTAAATTCTAACTAGAAAATTTAAAATTGTAAAATTCTGTTCAATCGTCCACGGATCGAATATACCCTCCTTATCTCGAACCCCGATTTCACCGATCGATCGCGAGCCCACGCAATCCGTATTCTCTCTTCTTACCCTTTCCCCAAGACCCGCGAAAGGCCGTGTCGCGAACTCTTGAACATGCCTCTCGATCTAACCTTCCTCGTAACAAGAGCCTCTCGGCTCGTTGTCGCATCTGCATTGCATCGACGATCGCGTCGATACATCCGAGTTGGATTCTCCGTTGGCACGCAACGCCACACTTAGTATGTAAATCGGCGCGCTCTCTCTCCCTCTCCCCTCCCTCCTCTCCCCTCTCCCCGTACACACGTCCACGCGACGTACGTGTGGATAATTGCGCGGCGGGCTGGCGCGCGTGTGGGTGGCAGTCGAAATTGCGCATATCAATGAGGTTGTGGGGCGTCGATTAAAATCTAGAGAGAGGCCGCCTGTCAATTTCTAACTCCCCCGGCTATTCGCGGAACGAGTTGTTACGTTTCCAACCGGTGTGCCCTCTCGCGCAACTTTATATGAACTGTGTCTCTCGACAAAGAAGAGAGGCCGGCCGCCATTTCGTAAGCGATTTTTACCGTTGCGCATTGATACAGTTTCGGGGCGAGCCAACTTTTCGTTCGCGCTCTATCTCCGGCGTTGATTTATGGATGATACGAATATATATATAGGGGGGAAATGGAATTTGAATAGAATTTTGTTAGAAAAATCTTGGGATAATAGATAATAGGTGTTTATCTAAAAAGTGGAAAAAGTTTTAATTTTTTAATTATTATTATTATTATTATTGGCAAATAGAAATATGTTTTTTTAATTTAATCATTATCGTAATTATATTTTGACCGATATTTGAACATATTAATTAATTATAATTCTTGTTTATATTTTACTATAATTTTTAAATCGATTGTCAGAATTAATTTTTCTAATACATATAAAATAATTATATAAAATTATTTGATAAAAAAAAACACATTAATACAAATAAATTCTCCAAAATCAGAGGGATGAATTAAATCCACCGCAGGAAGGAGGCGCAAGGAAAATAAGAGGGGGGGGAATCGAACGAAAAAGCGGTTGATTAGGATCGTGTTGGAGGAACACGGGAGAGAAGATTGCGCGATTCCCCTTTCGGAATCCGGAATCCTTTCCTCCCCGTACGTCGTCACTGCAATCCACATCCGAGATTGGCGATGACCGCGTCGATGGGGGGGGGGAAGAAGGCGCAGGAGGAAGCGGCGGGTCTCGTCCAAGTTCGAGGACGTTTCACCCTCTATTAAACTCCCTTGGACAAGGGAAAGGCGGCCGTCGTTGCCCTTGGTAGCTCGTCTGTAAAATCAGCCGCCTTTTTTTTGTACTTCTCCCCACTAGGTACACCCTTCTCTATATTCGATCGATCGAGATTGTTCGAGATTGGGAAAAGAAAGCGACTTTTTTTTTGGTAAAAAGCTGTCGAATATCAGAACAAATCATCTAGATTTCAATTATAATATTTATACGTTTAAACTCATTATTGTTACTAGTAAGTTAAGTTAGATTAGATTAGGTTATCTGTTCTCTTCTTGCTTTTGTCCAATTCTTCAAAGAGTGGGAAAAGAAAATAGAGGAACCTGGATCGTGATAGAGAATATAACAAATAAATATTAATAATAAAAATATTAATAATAAATATTAAATAAATATAGAGAAATAAAACAAATAAATATTGTAGAATAATTATAATTAAGTTATATTATCTTTTTTGTAGCAAGTGTTAGCAAAAAAATATTTTAAAAAGAATATTTTAAAATTTGCTAACTTTTTATGATTGCATATGATTGTATTATATATTATATATTCATAAAGAAAACATGATAAAGAAAACATGTAGCAATATTAAGTTTCTAAACTTAACTTGCTTATGTCAATTAATGATTAATAATCTATTTTTGCCATTTCCATTTTCCTAAAAGCTATACAAACAATTTTCCTTTCTTTCTTCTACAATCATTTAGAATTCCTCTTTTACAAAATTTAATTTCACATTATCATTTATAAGTCAAGATCCAATTATACAAAATTATTTGTATACAAAAATATAATTAATTTTTATGATCCATTGTTTCAACTAGACAAATTAAATTTGGACGGATCATTTGTGGATTAGAATGTATTAAAGAACAATGGATGGACTTTTTTCACGAAATGTGAAATGTGTCTCGGTTGATATTTGGCGACGTCTAAGCGGCCAATATTTTAGGGAGTCTCGTTCCAGCGGCGAAAGCCCGAGATTAGATCACGTCTAAACTTGTAGTAAGCCTGGACAGAAGATTTCATCGGGCCATTTGTCGCGCACCGTCAGAACAGAATCGGTCGGATAGGCGCGCGATCGTAAAACGCGATTTAGTCGGCGGGAAACGTCTCCATTTGAATAAACTCTTCCCGCGTAAGAAAGGATCTTTTGATGATCTCGTCCTGCGAGAACGTAAAACGGCGATAGATTCCATTTCGAAAACCTATGCGTGCAGAGGCCGTAAAATTTTCGAAACGCGCGAAACATCGCCCTTCCGCCTCTACCTTATTTTATTTTCCTCGCGAGAATTATCATTCCCCGTGTGCTTCAATCAATTTACGACTTTCTCGATAAAATGGACTCGAGAACATCTTTAGAAAGATTTCAATTTTATTTATTAAGATCGAAGAGATTTTCAAAACTATTTATTTTTTTAAAGCTGAAACAACGAATTTTTGATTCTTTCGAACAAAATTAATTCGTTGACAATTGATATTGAGGGATCGAAAGAAAATTTGAATTTTATTAATAAGCATCAAATTTTAGATTCGTTACATTACTTTTGTATAAAAAAAATCGTTAATTGATAAAAAAACAAAATTCCATCCTGAAATAGTTAGAAATTTACAATATCATTATGATCATTTTTGAATTTTCAAAATAAGTAAAAAATTCTGTGTTCCTTGAAATGATCTAGAATCCGATCTAATTAATTTCTTCTGACAACAACTTCATAAGAAAAAACTTAAATTATACCATTATAGCATATTTCAAAATACTACTAATATTATTTACCCGTAGAACAATATAATACCATTCCTCGAATGCAAAATCATTCACCTCCAATCCTTCCTTCCTTGCTTCCTTCCTCCCGACAAGATCAACACCCATAGTATCAGCAATCGCGCAAGGATTTCCATTAATCGTCCTCCTATTCTCGCGTGTCCTTGCCGAATCCGATTCTCGGTACCCCGTCAAGCCGCGTCACGCTTCGTTGTCGGTAACCACACCATCATCACCCACCCTTCCGATGGATCGTCGATAGGTATTTTAGGCTACAGTATATAATAGTACATAGCTATAACAGAGCTCGCGTGGGAGCAGCTCTCCCCAGTGGGAGAGGACACGCAGCGAAAGAGAGAGAGAGAGAGAGAGAGCAGGAGCCAAGAACAGGAGGTATCTAGAGAGCGAGAGAGAGAGAGAGCAGGAAAAAGGGGAGAGAGGGAGATCGATCGAATCGCCATTACGGCGAGTGAGTGGCGGGGTTGCTCGATGGAATCACGCCGCCGCTGGGGGTTTATTCTCCGTATATATTTGCCGGAGTATCACCCTCGACCCAGTAGGATGTCGCTGTGTGGGGAGGGTTCGATGCTTCGGCGCGGCCGCCCAGCCCGCGGCCAGGGGAACGAATCTAGGAACGCCGACTTTCGTCTGTCTCTGTTTCACTGTATCACTCTTGTCTCTTTCTCTTTCTCTCTTCCTCTTTCTTTCGCTAACCGATAATTCCTGTTTCACTCTATCCAAGCGGCTGGCACTTTGGATCTTGGCAAAATCTACGGGGAATTCGCACCCTCGATAGGATGCCACTTTTCCAGCGAAGTGGCTCGACTCGACAAATGTTGAACAATGGTTACGTTTTTATACCGTTCGTGTGTTTTTGGAATAGGAGATGCCTGTAATTGGAATATTATCGATCGTTTAATAGCGAGACGTTTTTAAATCGTTCGAAGATAAATTATTAATTTGTATCGCTGAAATTGCCGTTTTCGTGATTAATGTAAGGAAAATATATTTTTGGGAACAAGAAATGTATTTTAAAGTCGGAATATATAGTCAGAATTTATTTAGATTCGCGTTACTGGTGCGTGAAGAGTCACTTTGCACGAAAAAAGACGACTTAAGCCGAAGACACACGAACGTCAAAAAACGAACGTTACGTGATAGTATTACGTTGTATGGCATAGGAGCGACATCTGTGACAATTTAAAAATTCGTTGGTTCGTTAGCAATTTTATCGTTCGAATATTCGAATGAATATTTTTTCAGTGAAATTTTACTAGTTCTCAAGCATATTAGAATCACATTTTTCCCTTTACAAGTGAATAGTTTCCCGTTTTGGGCGGCCATTTTGCGTCACATCGCGAGCGAGTCGATTTACAAATCGATACGATCTTTCCAGATATGGCGCCGGATACGATTTGGCAGCGCGGCGGAAGAACGCGACGAGGGAGTCGACGGCCACGCTGAAGGCATGGCTGAACGAGCACAAGAAGAATCCTTATCCGACCAAGGGCGAGAAGATCATGCTTGCGATCATCACGAAGATGACACTGACGCAGGTATCCACTTGGTTCGCGAACGCGCGGCGGCGTCTGAAAAAAGAGAACAAAATGACCTGGGAGCCGAAAAACAAAACCGACGATGACGATGACGCGGTTCTCACAGACTCGGAGGACAACAAGGAGAAGGATGATCTCGCGGGTGACAATCAAGGCGACAGAGTCGGAGAGGACGCGAGGAGAGGCCTCGAGGAAAATGGTGAGTGACTTTTTTTCGTAATTTCACATTTGAGGTCTGATATATTTTAATTATCTTCGAATCTTTGAAAGATGTTGTTTTTGAAAAAACATTATAAATTATGCATTTAAAACGTCATAAGATAGAAACAAAATAGTAGGATATATACGTATAAAATAGATGAAATATATATTTAAGATTATAAAACGGAAAAATGTAGAGATCGTTTTCGAAATCGAGTGATCAAGATTGTTCTTATTTGATCATTTTTCAACAATATTTATTCGTTATATGATTTTTAACTTAAATAAAATGATTTATTTATTTTTACATCCGAACCGATCATATAACCTCAATCGTGCTTCGTCTTTCTTCTGTCCTTCTTCGTTATTACCTGCGAGCAAAAAAAGGGTCGAATTTCGTTTCTCCAATAGTTACGCGTTCTCGCGGTCAGTCTCGAGTCGTGAGCTTATAACGAGCGAACAGTAATATTTCGAACGGCGACCAGAAAAGACAAAAAATACACATTCTCTGGGCGAAAAAGCCAGGGTCGAAACCTCGTTTCAACGTGGCTATGCGCCGGCAAGTTTAGTCGATAAGCTTGCACGCGTGTAACAGCACGAAACGCAAAATAATCCATGCAGTCGTGCATGCATTCGAGCGAAGAATGTTCGAAGAACAACCCGAATGTCTCGAATCTCGGAAGAAGCACCGCCATTAGGGGCCAATTATCGATGTTCCAACGATGTATAGTGCATGTATATACACAATAGCGACGAGTCGCGGTCGAGGGTGAACCTAGCCGCGGAACGTATATACCGATCTCTTCGAGGAATGTCGGTAGCGTGTATAGCTCGCGTGACTAGTTTCCCCGATATCGAGTGGCCATCGGTCGCCGCGTTTCTGATATTGCGCAAGCATCCATTTCGCGCACAATAACTGTACGCGACCTCACCCTGCATGGATCGGGCCATTCACGGAGATCGGCTACGAGATCCTCGAGAAACGTGGAACGTTAAGGACAAAAGCGGAGCTTCTGTGATCCTTTCGAGTACCGCTACGATTTACGATAAATACCACTCTACTCTATTGGATTCCGGAGGTATACGAGTTTTTTGTGATACATCGTTTTAAGGGTGCGAGTATATTTGGTTATTTTTTTTATTGGAAAAGAATAATTCTTTTAGATTAGTATAATAAAATATATATATAAATAAAAATATAAATATATATAAACATTTTGGAAAATTTGAAAATTGCTATTGGACAATCACTTAACCTAAAAGTGCGAATACGTCTTGGAACAAAAAGTTTGGAAAGTTATTCTTTTTTGTAATGGATACTTTGAGAGATAAAATTATTATTGGATATTCATTTCGTGTCCAATCTGACACAACTTTTCAAGAGTTAAATGTATTTGTATTCTAATGATATTGCCATGATGATTTTTCAACAGTAATATTATTTGGCATATATTATAATATATTGCATATATATTACTATATATATTACAATTTCTGATTAATTTTGTTGTTTATTCAAAATGTTTCTAATACAAAATTCAAAGCTGCTTACAAAATTACTGCATAATACCATGACAATCTTTTTATTATTTTTTCTTAATCGAAAATATTTCTAAACTTTTAGAATTCCTCAGAATTCCTGCACAAACTCATGTACTCACCTTCAACTTTTCCATGTTCGTAGTTCGATCGTTCGTTTTTGAAATTCCTCTTACCTCACTATCCGGGCTCGTAAATCCTCCAACCACGTTTCCAATAACCGTGCAACCGTGCGACGTAAGAAGCAGATCGTTCCTGTTGGCGCAAGTTTCAAAGTCGCCATATAGCGTCGTTTGTCCCATGCACAGCCTGTAAATTCAATTACCCAAACTCGAGTCTCTGAGTGGCGCTGAAATCGGTCGACGAGCGAGACGTCCAGTCGTTTTCGTGTCGCGCGCCCCCTAGTGTCGGCTCTCGGCCATCTCGATAGGCCGCTATACTTATTCAGGCATTTTGCCCAACGGGCGGAAACGGCGAGTTAGAAATTCGCTGCGAAACCGGCCGTGTGTCGGCCTCTATATCGCGGAGGCGGACATAATGGTTCACATGTGGGTAAACACAGTGACGGGTTGCGGGTTGCCGCGCAAAGAGATTAATGGCCTTCGGTTTGGTCCCCTGGTGGACCGCTCGGTTCGTCGTCGTCGTGTTAGTATACGTGCGCTCACGCTTTCACCGCGCATAGTGGCGTGCATATACCGAATCTCGAGCGTGTGGTAGTACGCTCGCGTATATAGGTTGATCTGGTGCGCGCGCTTGTGCTTCGACTCCCTAAGCGTGCCTCTGTGAGAGGCGGAGGGTGCGCCCGGGTTGAGTAGCCATCCGTAGGACGTATATACACTTCGTACGGCTCCATGTATATATATATATATATTTATATATATATATATATACACATACAGTGGATGTATATAGATACATGGCGGAGTGGTGGTTTGAGGCACGGTGATGTATCGGCGCCCGCGGCGAGACGAATGGTACGGACCCTCGTATGGCCACCATTACCCCACCGCACATTGGCCAATATCGGCCCTCTCTGTTCCTCCCTGTCCTTCTCTTCCTCTCTGCCTTGTCCACCGCCCTTTCTCGCATTCTCTCTCTCGCATTCTATTCCCCCTCTGTCTCGCTCGCCACGTCTCTCGGTTCGATTCCGGGACATTTAGGTGTTGCGTTGTCACGCGCGTGATGCATCGTAATTTTAAAGGACCACGCCACCGGGAAATAAGCCCACCCGAATATATCCGGCGAGAAGGAACGATGCCCCGTACGAAAGCGATTTGTTTTCTATTTCCAGACCGCTCTCTGGGTCCGTGGTGATTTGTGATCGCGTATGAATATATCCCGACTCGTTTCGAGGGATATTGGCATCGAAGGAGACGCGTAGTGTATATTCGGTCGTGCGTGTTATGGATCGTTCCATGCCTATGAATGTTGAAAGCGGTTTCCATATTGCTGGACCTTGAATACGGTTGAGGTTATAGCGGGTACCGGGCCGAACGAGACAACCACAAGGTTTGCCAGGAAGTTTGCTAAATTCAAGAGAGAGCCCTCATGAATTTCCATGCCAAACGTCGGAGGGAAGAGGTCACTCGAGAGCACGAGAGCTGCTTACGAGCCTGGCCTGTTGTAAGATTCCTTTCACGAGTGGTCCACTTGATTTTTTTTTTTGTCAACAGCAACAGGCTATCTTTATTATCGTCGGGAAAATATCAAAGCTGTCATTTTTTAAAATATTTATTCGTTATAAGCTTATGCAAGCATCTATACTATTGGTTAGAAATTTGAAATCGCAATTATAATTGTAATTAGATGAAATCTTTGTTTATAAATTAATGTTATATTAATAGTTAATTTCACTTTTACAATAGAATATTATAAAAGTTATAAAATTTTTTAAGTTGTTTCTTTTTTTTTATCTTCTTCAACAACAACAATCATCATCTTAGGTATTTAAAAAAATTTGATGCATTGTTTTCATAATTATTTTCCAATTTTTCTTTGTTAACTATCTAGTTTATATTCCTTATTATTTATAAAGATAAAAACAAAGCTAAAATTCCTGGCATTCACAATTGTAATCATTCCTATACTGGGAACTTGCGCGGTAAAGTAAATATTGTATCTTCGCGAACATCAGAAATCATCGAATAGATTCACCCAGCGAAGATTATGAGATTAACGTCTGATAAAAGGGGGTCAAAAGTTAAAGAGCCACTTGTGGACTCGACGGTGGTATCTATTTAGTTGGCCCATAAGGTTCCCTTTATAAAGGGCCGGCACCCTAAACTCCTCTGTTTCTCCGATGATATCTCTCCATCTCTCTCCGGCCCACCGTTCCACCCGTCTATCCGTCCATTTCTGTTTCCCGTTCACGGGGAGGCAGTCGGCCCCTTCTAGCTTGGGAATTATCGCTTGACGACCCATCAAGTAAACCCTCTGCCGACTCATTCGAACCTCTTAATGAAATTCTCACCCCTGACTGACTGGCTGGCTTGGCTGGATGGCTAGCTGGCAGACGCTTGGGACGATCCTAGAGTGCCCCAAGAGAAAGAGAGAAAGAGAGAGAGAGAAAGACTCGAGCAGCGGAAGAGCGAGAGAAAAAGACAGAGGAAAAAGGATACGGCCTTCCCTATTTTCCCTTCTCGATGTGTTTCTCCGCTGCCTCGAGGGGGAACTAAAATCTCTCGCGCCTCAAAGTGGTTGAAGGCTTCGCTCCCTTTTTTTCACAGCATCCCTTACAGCTTAACCGTATAAGGGTCCAAGGGAGACTCCCGATACATAGCACTCCCTCTCGAGCGCTTCGATATATATATATATATATATATATCGAATATATATATATACCATCCGACTCCTCGCTCGTAGATCTCACTTTCACACCAGGGATTATAAACCATTAATTCTGACATCGCGTCCAGGCCAAAATAACGAGAGAAGGGGCGCGAGCCTTAATGCGATACCGTTGACCGTACTGAATTTTCTATCAGTTGCGTCGCCTTCCCCCCTCCACCCTCTCCTCCGTCCTCCCCCACTCCGGCCTGTACATTACACCACAAGGAGAGGGGGAGCGAGTTTTACGAGCTATTAAGTTCACTTTTATTCGATATATACCTACTTATACACTCGCGCTTGGGTATATTTGTACCGGTTACCGTGACCATTAACGTCACTTTCACAGTTTTTGCTCCGGATAAATATTTCTAGATCCAATTTTTTTCCTAACTTGAACATATTTTTCGAACAAATTAATTTGCACTTATTTTTTAATTTAATTTAAGAAAGAAAAAATTGTTTTATTTTTCTAAATAAATGTCTTGGAGATTTTCGATTAGAACAAACAAATTAACACTCAATATATTTCATATATTTTTGTTTTACATAAATTGATCGAAGAATCAACGATCGATAAATTGCTTAACAGTTAAAATTAATTTAGAAAAATTTATTTTCGATTTCATATAACGTTTACTGCAGTTTATATCATTCATGGTAATTTATTAAGGATAATAAGAGAACTGTTTTTCCCCTATCATTACGAGATGATACTACGCCCGATCGAACGGCCAATTTACTAAATTGACTCGCGGTCTGTTTGCAGAGCCGATGAGGCACGTGAAAGCGGAGCACTTGCAGCACGACAAGGACCTGGACGAGGAGGACGACCTCGATCTCGAGGAGGATCCCCGCCGGGGCGAGCATCCGTTTCACCACGCGATGCAGCACCACCACCACCACCACCAAGCATACCCCGGCGAGGACCACCTCAAGGACGAGGGGATCGTCAAAACCGACTGCAGCGCGGCAGGCGTGCCGATACCCGCGACCAAGCCGAAAATCTGGTCGCTGGCCGACACGGCCGCGTGCAAGACACCCCCGCCCCCTACCCACCCTCATCATCAACAGTACCATCACCTTCATCACCAGCAGCACTACGGCCAACAGCAGCATCACATGTCCAATCAAGGCCACCACCATCACTCCCAGCAACCTTGGCTCGGCTCAGGGGGCGGAGGCGGCGCCGGAGGCGGAGGCAACCTGAGCTCGTTCGCGCTTCCGTCCTCGGCGTCGATGAGCCCGTCTGCAGCCGCCACAGCGCCTTACTCGAGCGCCGCCACGAGGTACGGCGGTTTCCTCTCGTCCTCGTCCGGTGGCCAACTGCACTACAACCCCAACTCGTCCTCCGGCTCGAGTTCCTCGGCGTCCTCCTCGGCGGCTGCGGGGTTTCCCGAGGTTGGTACGGACACCCCACCCCAGACACCGCCCAACATGAAGGTGGCTACACCGAATGGAGTGATCCAGGCACCACCGGGCGGTTACTGCACTGGTGGCAACGGGAACGCGACGACCAACGGTAATCCAAATCCGTACGGGCAGAGCCATCCGGCGGCCGCCGGCTATCTGTCGACCAGTTCCGGCTCGGCAAGCAGCGGTTCCTCGTTCAGCTCGAGGCTGCAGGCGTCCCCGCACAAGGACTTCTCGCCAGCGGGGCAGAATTCTATTCTCCACCAGCATCAGACCACTGCCAGCTTACCGCCCACGGAGGCCACCACCGCGTTCAAACCGTTCTATAAGGGGTAAGTTTCGTTTTCTCGAGTCTTGAGATTCTGAAAAATCGGTATGTGGAAAAATTAAAATTGTAAGATTAATAATCGGATATATTAATGTGGATATTATGGAGTAGAATTAATTCTTTCTAAATTAGATCTAAATTTTATTTCAAGTATCGAGTTGTATAAAATTTTGAATAAAGAAGAAGAAAAAAAATAATTTTGAAAATTATTTGTTTGTTTCAGCTCGCAGTCCATGGGTAGCGGATTCGTGTCGCCGGTCTAAGGAACTCGCTAGATCGATTCTGGATCACCGTCGCGTTCCTCCAGGTGAGTGAGATTATTCCATCAGTTAAGAATTTATTTATGCACAATTTTGCAATGTTAAATATTTGTAAATATTTAATATTATGAAGAAAAAGGAAATTCTTTTCAACAATTAGATCTTTAAAAGATACAGTAAGGTTTTTCAATTTTTTAATTTGAAAAAAGTATATGAAATTTTTAAATATTGCAAAATTGTACACAATATTTAAAAATTTATATATTCTCGAAACCGGTCGAAACGAGCGTATATTTGCAATCGAGCACTGTTTTATCGATAATTATATAAAAAATGACAGCGAAAAACAAAGAGAGAGCGAGAACTCAAACATTTAAAGAAATTTATGGCACATTATTTTCCGTGAAATTCTCGGAGCATATAACGAGTAAATACTAAAAACGCGAAGTCTGAAGTTTTTTTGTCGATTTAACGAACCGGATCTTCCATCTTTCTCTAACCTCTACTATATACATATATACACATTTTTCCGTCGCTTCAGGCTAACGTCTGCTCGTCCAAAATATACATATCTTCACGCGAAGAAAATATTCACAGATGAATCACTATCTCGATCACGTTTAAAAGAGAGACCTTCCTTACGTCTGCCACTCGATGATAAATCATAAGCATACCAAATAACGCTAATCGTGTGGCGTGTGTACGAGGTGCGATCGTAATTTATAATACACATAGAGGAAATCTGTCGGGCAAGTAACACGGCTCCGATAATCGGTTTGCAAATCGTCGGATTGGCGTGTCTACGATCGACGAAAGCTTTCCATGATACGCGGTTGGTGGAAAATCGATAAGAAATTAATATTGGACGCGTCGATTGGTCGTTAAGGGTCGCCTCTCTCGTTGAAATAATAATGGGCCTGGACCGATGAGCCGTGCATACGAGCGGGAAGCGGAGAAAGAAAACGGGAGAGGAGAGAGGCTATCGCCACCTCCTTGACAGTGACAAATGGACGGAGATTTCAATCAGTGAATGGAATCACCACTGGACTAGCCGCGTCTCTCTCGCGCGTTCGGGCCAACGCGCGTATGACCATACTCTTCCAAGTTCTGTTTCGACTCGTATGTGCGAGCGTTAGTGTATGTGCGTTCGCGTGTGTGTACAGTGAAACACATCTTAACCTGTCGCGCTCGCTGACTGAACGACCGACCACAGTCCACTTGAGCGTACTATATTCTCTCATGAGTAGTAGCGCCGCGCTCTAGTATGAGGAATAAGACTCGCGTTTCGTAGGAGGTGATAATTGTTGATTGATGGAATTTTCGGTTTGGTATAAATGAAATGTGTAAAGTTTTTTTGATTGATTTTTGTGGATTTGGATCGAGGACAACTATTAAAATTTGAAAATTCCAATATTTAAAAATAGCGTGTATATATAGGATTTTAATTAAAATTGTCTCGTAGAAGGTGATAAGGTTATCGTGGAGATTGATGGTTTACGGATTGAAAAAAAAAAAATTAAAATTTGAAAATGTTTAAAGTATCGTATATATATAGGAATTTAATTAAAATAGTTTTGTAAAAGATGATAAGGTTATCACGGCGGATGGTTGATTTATATTGAATTTTTGATTTAAGAAAGTGATAAGATTTCAATTTTCGAGATTTAATTGATTCTAGATCTAGAAGTTTTTATTATTACTAAAAGCTCGTTTGTGTAATAAATTTATACAAAAAAGTGAAGATAAGGAAAAAATGTATTTATAAATACAATTTTAACGTAACGAAACAGTTCGTATTAAACTTACCGAATAGAATTTAATAAAACTATTACAACACAATTAATTATTTCTTATTTATTTAATACAAGATTGTGATGACACCATTAGGTTTCAGAATAATCAAATCCCCTAAATTTGAAATAAACACGAAAGCGTACAGTGGCTCCTTTCAAAACCAGTTCCCAACTGATTAAAATCACTTATCTCCCCGTGATTCATCACTTTCTTCGTCCGACGATGACGTGCAGAGGAAAACGTCGTCGTAGATAAATAGGAAACGCGTAAATTAGGCAGATATATCTATCTTTCCCGGCAATATCTCTTTCAACGTCCCGCTAATAGAAAAGTAGTTGGCCGCAATATCGTGATATCAATTGGCTTCGACCATTTCACAAAGAGAACGAGATTCATTTAACAACATTTTTTTCTATTTCGATTTTTTTCTGTCTCGCTCACGTTTTTCGAAGGTATCGTCCCCCGCCCCCCTCCCCCTCCCCCTTTCAAGGTTATATCTGATTCATAGCCGTGGTAAACACGTTGACGGCCAGTTTTTTGAACAGGAAAAAATTTGGAAATCAATAATTTCATCGTTCATTGTTCGTTCGTTCACTTTTATTCTTTCGCGTTTGCTGAGATGATATCATCTCTTATATATATAAAAGTAAATATTTTTCTTTTAAAATATCTTTAAAAATATTATTTCATAATTTTCAATATAAGAATATCGACGAAATATTGTACACAGATTTATGAAATTTTGTACACGGATAATTTGCGATGATTTGCAAATAAAACTCGGATATCTTGATTTTACACACGTAAGAAGACGCGAAATGACGAATAAACCCCGTTTATTAATTAACACGCCGGTATCGTCCGTTTCGAACAAACGATCAACTTTTTCCCCGCATTATTCACCGTGGATAGAGATTCAACTTTAAGAAACCTAACTTAACCGACTCCTTCTTCGTCCACTTCCCTTGGCCAAACAACAACGAGTGAAAGAAGGTGTCGAGCAGGGGGGAGAGAGACGACACCTTGGAAGACAACGCGAAAGAGAAAGAGACGCGCCACGTTGGAAAGGGAACCGGGTGTTAGCCGGTACTCTTATCGCGTGGCGATCTGATCCTAATTTATAGCCGCGTCCCAAATAAACTAGTTTTCGCTGTCGTCACCTCTCGGACCTCTCCTCTTCCTCCTCCTCCCCCCCTCCTCTCCGTCGAGTTCCATGCATGCGGACCGGGAGGGTCCTTTGGGGCCCCGTGGCTTATAACGCTTCTCCTCTCGACCCTTCCTGCTCCCTTCAGATCTCTACACTCTACACAGCTCTACGAGGAGGCCAGGTATACGTATAAACTCTCCCCTCTCCCCTTGTTGCACCTACCTGCCAGGAACCTTTTTTTTTCTCTCTCTCTTTCTTTTTTCCTCTGCTCCTCTTTTCTTCGAGAAGTGGCCGGTGGAGGAAAGCAAACAGAGAATCCTTCGACACCCTATAATTGTCAATTAGTTTGGGGATATTTAATTGCCATTAGGCTACTCCTAAAGGTGGAGCCCTAAAATTGGACTCTTTGTCGATCTCGAGCTTGGAGCATCGTGTTTATCGATGGAAGATAAATTTTCTATTTTTTTTCTTTATTGAAAAAAAATTCAGGGATCACTTTTAATTAATAATATTTCTCATCGAGTTCGAAATAATCGCAGTACAATTTCTTTAATAAAACAACTTTGAATAAGAAGAAAAAATAGAAACAGTTATCCAAAAAATTAATATTTACTTGAAACATATATATATATATATATATATACACACCTTTGTACACCGTAAAGGCAATATTTAGAAATTTCGTCGGTAGATAGCAGCAGCAGTCAAGAATGCACTTGTTCGACCGTTACCGTGTTAATGGATTAAAATTCGCGACCACCAAGATTCTTCGACACTGGATAACCGATCTTTTTAACGGTCAGATTCCAAAAGAATTCGGCTGCCCCGCCGATAAATCCTTCGTGTTCGATCCTCGCGAGAAACTGCACCCGCCACTTCGAGGTTTCTTCTGTCCCCTCTTTGTATCGGTGGAGAGGCGCGCGCGCGCGTGTATGCGTGTATATGCGTGTGCGCGCGTTTCTCGAATTCTTGAAAGGCGTTTCACACCACGTTTCAGTGTTCCACGAGGCGGGACACCGCGTCCTTCTTTGTCCTCGACCCCTATTTTTGCGCAGAATCTCGGGTTTGTTACACCGCGAAAGTCGTGAGAAGACGAAACGGTACGTTTCGAGTAGAAGGTTGTCGGATTTGGCCTATGCCTGCTACCTGGGTAACCGGAGAACCTGCTGAAACTGCCCTGAATCCGCTCGTTCCTCTTGCATTGGTCTCTCTCTCCTTGTGAATTCGTGCTCGCTTCTGGAAACGAGTTATTGAAGTATAGTGGCCATTGCACAAATATTATCGTTATTGTTATTATTAATTAGAAAGATATTTTTTTTTCTGTTATAAAATAAGGAATTAGGCTTCAGTTTGGGATTTTTAAAAAGTATCAATGTATAACGATGATAAATAATAGTGGTTTACAAGTTGTGAGTTTTTAAGTTGAATCTTTAATCGAGATTATTTTCTATTTTTGTTCATTTGTATAATGAATTTCATAAAACTATTATTATCGAGCCTAATTACCAACAATAAGTGTCTAATGTAGAATGTTCTGTTTGGAAAAGGAATTAATGTAACTTGCTAAAGATATTTATTTTGTGCATTTTTAATTTGAATTGGAATTCTATGATTTCTATTCTAAGTAATTATAAGAAATCATAAGAAGAAATGTGTGCATTAATAATTTATAGTACTCTGTAATTTTTTTCCCTTCTGCATATTATTTCGAATAGTTATAATTTTAATTTATGTATATAACAATTCGTGCGAACTTTAATAAAAAGCAAAAATATAATGTAAAATGAAAATTTAAATTTTCAACTTCTTTCAAGCGATGTATATATTAATTTCAATTCAAAGATTTCAAGCAACCAAGTAAAACCGTTCGTTGAATTTTCCGCTCTCATAAAGCAGTACATCATATCCGAAGTACAACACAGCATATCTAAGACTTCATCCGCGAAAACCGCCTAACGCTGTTTTTCCTTGTGGCTTATCGGCATATAATTTCTAATTACGTCGCTCCACCGCCAATTAATCACGCTCAATCTCCCCGGAAAATGGAACCTGCCACCGTTAATACACTCGCCGATGCGGTCGGGTGTTGTAATTATACAATTAAAC